GGCCTTATGGTTTTCACTTAACCAAATGAGAGTTTTTATAGGGAATCCCCATGACCACAACGATTGCCCATGAATTTATGGGCCCAACACTCTAACAATTTCCTACTTGGCCCGTGTGTGGTCAACAATGGAAGGACGCAACTTGATAGAGCTCATGGTGATTTTCAAACACACTTAGGTAATTACTTATGTAAACTCAGATTATGGTAGTCTCTCCTAAAAGTGGAGATTCCATCCATGCATCATGACGATTACACTTGTAACCCTCAATGTAGTGGATATATGTATACCGATCCTAGTTTTGTGCTTGTGTCTGTCTATAATAATGTGCATGCATTAGACAGTTGTGGATTGCAAGAATGGGAGAATCAATTATTGACACATGTCATCATGTTGAGTTTGTAAAAGAACTAGCAATTCCCATGTTTTTAACATGGCTCATAAACACATTAGGGGACAACCCCTTAGTCATCCAATCCACAATCATAAGTTCAGTTCTTATATGCTCAATGATGATTTTCCATTCTTGCACTTTGTCCCTCACTACTAAGTATTTTAAGTCAATATATTTACTTTGACTAATATTCTTGTTGTTCTCTGAAAATAACACACCTGCAGAATTATCACAGAACAACTTTATYAGTTTATCCACATAGTCGAGCACTAATAGGGATGCTCATGGTTCGGTTAATTATCCGAACCGTGAGTACATTTTTTGAATCGAATCGAACTGTTCATTTTTTAATTATCTGAACCAAAACCGAACCGATGCAACATGTTAACCAGTCAGCTAGTTAACCGATGGACCGGTTAACCGCAGTTCAGTTTTTCGGTTTTTTTAATACACTTGAAATAAAAAAAAAACGGAAAGCATTGAAGAATTTCCTAAATTTTTCATTAAGCATTTCTATTAACAGAAATTGTCAAGGACTAAAATTTGATCTTACTTGGTTTTTCAAAAATGTCTGTGCTATATTTTTATTTCCTTTCAGGAATATTTCATTAAAATCTTGTATGGGGTAGAGTGGAGAGGTAAGTGATGTTTTGGAGTATAGAAGCCTAGAAGGGGGTGATAAGATGAGAGATGTTTCATTTAACGAAAAGTTCAAGGGAGGGACTGATACCACAATGAGATTAGGCACATGGGTGTTTAGATGAGTATGGGTTATGGAGATGGGAGTTTTTGTTTCTGATTGAGTGTGGGTTATGGAGATGGGAGTTTTTGTAGGAAAAAAAGCAATTAAAACACTACACGCAAAGAGAATAGTTCAAGCATATAATTACAACCACTTCCAACAGAGCTTTTAAACACAAATTTCATATAAGCCATTAACTCAAATGAAAAGACTGTCAAAGTTGACATCCTAAATAGAAAAAAGAAACCAAGAATAAGGTAATACCTTACATGGATATTGCTCCTTGCCACAACCATGTGCTAACAAGCTTTGTCCCAACATATACACTATAAAATAAAAGAAACAAATGATGTAGCTAGACCCCAAATTTCTACTGCAAATCTGCAATCAAGTAAGCAAAAAAAAGCAATATGTGAAAACTAATCTATAGCTTCAGAAATCAAGACTCCAGAAAGATGAAAATGAAAACTTACCTCTAACACAAATCAACATTTGATCATTTGCCTATTAGAATGCAAGATATCTGGAGAGTGGAGACCCCTGCTGAATTCTTAATTGAAGAGGATCCTTGTCTACATGGTCTGGAAGCCAGGATGCCATGCTAGTAGTGCCATAGGAGCCATAACAATTACACCAAAAACTCAAAAAGCATATCATACAAATGGACTAGATAAACCACGACGTCCCAGACCACAGTGGATTGCAAAAATGGCATGAGTACCTGTGCTATGGGTATTAATCCCCACCTAGTTGGGATAAATGCCATCAAACATGCGATGGCATCAAAAAAAACTAGAAATGGGTGAATTCCAAAAAGGCAATTATCACAAGCATTGTAACTGTAATGACAAGGAGCTAGACCAGTCGATAGTATATATGCTCCTCTACAGCATATTTGTCCTGAGCATATGCTATTATCATATAAGTTCTGACACCTACAACTATACCAATCCATGA